AATGAAACTGTCAGTTTATTGAAAGCAAGTGAGTTGGAAAAGCTGAAAAGTATGAAATTAGACTATTAGAGCATCAGCCTTGCAGAAGCATCTTAACACACTGCAAACAATATGAACAATTCCTATCACACTTCAACTGCACCACCTGGCTTCTCCAAGAGCATGCTGTGCGCCTTTTCATAGAATTGTAGAATATTCTGAGTTGGAAGGGACCCACAAGTATCAACTCCAACTCCTGAATCCACACAGCACTACTCAAGATTCAAGTCTTATGTCTGAGAACTTTTTCCAACTTTTTCTCACCTTCTTGAACTCTGGCAGTTCACTGCTGTGACACCTGCCTTACCCTAGGGTGCCTCTTAAAGTGCTTGATCGTCCTCTTGGTGATGAACCTAATCTCCAACCTGACCCTGTTTGACTCCCGTAGCACTTCTTTCTCTCACCCAATCTCAGAACTTGCCTGGAGTTGCTGTCCCATTTCAGAGTACTTAGTTGCACTTGAGAGCACTGATTCCATAAAGTGACCTTCTATCACTGAAGGTATTAGTTGCATGCAACTGTTTTAACTAGAAACGGGTCTTCAAAACAATATATCAATCTATGCACATGCCTGCCTTTGCCTAAGGGTCATAATCTCTCACGCACAGAGGAGCACCCACCTTCCTCAGACTCCTCTTTCCATGGCTTCCCTCAGGGAAAACAAGGTCTTGTCAATTGAATTCTCATCCTAGGACTGTCTTGTCAACTGTTTCAAACATTTTGAGTGCTTTGTTCTCTACAGAGGCAGAACAGCAGTGTCACTTTGACCTGGAGCCTGTAAGTATATCACTGTCTACAATTTCTTCCCAATTTGTGACTGTTGGAAGGCTCACAGATTCATAGCCCTTGTGTTGTTTTCTCCAAACATCACCTTCCCTCTTGCCAAATTGAAAAAGATCTGTTAAGATTTTCATGAGATGATAACAATTGACCATAGCTGAATATTTAAGCCAGTCTTCCTAATATTACAACTTAAGTTCTCGCAAGTTTTGCACCTCTTTGTCTTGGATTACCTTGCCATCTCCACACTGATAATAGTTCTGCTGAAGTCAGGGGAAAGTAGTATAGAACAGGTCTGAGCAAGATGACGTTACTGCTCTCTACAATTACTTGAAAGGAAGCTGTGGCAAGGCAGGGATCTCTTCTTCCAGGACAAGAGATAATGGCCTTAAGTTGTGCCAGGAGAGGTTCAGATTGGATATTAGGTAAAACTTCTTGCAAAAAGTGGTCAGGCAGTGGAACAAGCTGCCTGTGGAGATGGAGTCACCATCCCTGGAGGTGTTCAAGAACATGTAGATGTAATATTTAGGGACATGTCTCAGTGGGCAGTATTGGTGGTAGGTAGACAGACTAGATGATCTCAGAGGTATTTTCTAATGTTAAGGATGCTATGATGATATGTAGGAATTTACCATAGTGATAACCAGGTCTTAACCTGTCTTGAGTTGACAGAAGCAAGGTGGTTTTGCCTAAATGTTGTAAATTTTATCTACAAGATGATGAAGAATCCTTCAGGAGCAGGACAGAATATCTAATGTATATTTTTTTAATTGCCAATGGCAATTAAATATTATTTTCCAACTGAATTGAGATAATTGTCCTTATCTCAAAAGGCAATGTTTCTTGCAGTTTAAATGATCTTGATATTAACATCAAAACAAATCCTTTTGCTCTTCTAGGAGGATTTAGGTTAAATTCAATAAAATCATAGTTTAGTTCAATGGTCAGTCTTTGGAAAATATATGTGCACACTGCAGCTGGTTCACAGTGCTGTAGAAGGTTAATAATTGTCTCTATATTTCACCAATGTGTTGACTTCTTAGAATTTAGATATATATCTTTAAATACGTACAGTTTTATGTGCTTCTAGTTTTTACTTAGTCATAATCTAGCTTCCTGAATATAAGACTTTATTGTGCTACATTTACATTTCTAATGACATTTTTTGCTGAGGAAGTATATCTATAGACTGTATTGGTTTCAGTGAGGCTTTATCCAACCACTTGAATCTTCATGCAGGATCAGGGCCAGGTGGCAGTGAACTATCCCAAACCCACACAATGAGTCAGTGATATGGTTGGAACTGGAACCAAGTGGCTGCTAGCTCTCAGCTTTGTCTGAAGTGTATTAGGGGATAATGCTTTTCATCTTCTCCATTCCCACTGTGATAAATAAATATACTTAAACTACAAGGAATTTCACAAAGACTCCCAAAAACTTCAGTTCCGCAGCTATATTTGAGAGACCAGGGCCTCTTACATAATCTTAGAAAAATGGATAGCACAAGCTTTAAGGCTGTTGGTCTTTTTTTTTTTTTTGGCAAGTGCAGTTTAAGTAACAGAGAAATTAAGACCATCTCCTTCACTGGCTGTCATTGTTAAATTTTGTTCTTTCAAGGCAAGGCAGCATTTCTTCAAACATCTATTAATTCTAATAAACCCAGCAGATTTAGAGATGTATACTGACAATGGCACTCAATAGGACTTGCTTTCCAGAAAATAACTCGTCACTGTATTATCACAAGTTCCAGTCCATACAAGGATTCTTGTTTTGAATGAACATTAGACCCAGAGGGGGAGCCAAGCCATCTTGTGAGCTGGTGTGTTAGGCAAGCAGTGAGCAATCTGTTCTTTGTTAATGCAACAAAGACTGGAACTAGAGATTCCCTGATATTTCCTGAGAGTAACATCTGGATCTGTGTGAACTGGTTTAGTAAATATTTTTGTATATTTCACATGCTGTCACTTGCATGATGAATAGTTTGAATACCTGCATATATTATGTTGCTTCTATAAAAACAATGATCTTGATAACTGTAGTAGTGCTTCTACATTCCCTAGGATTTGATACTAATTTAACCCCAAGTAATATTTCATTTTCTTATTTAAGTTATGCCTACCGGTGATGGAAGTCAGTTATAGCTGTATTTCAAAAAGAGGAAATGATATGATATGTAAGCTTTATTTCTGTAAGAGTGGTTTTTGATAGCTTTGAATGTGTCTGACTGTTCTGAAGAGATCATGAGAAGATCAGTGTTACAAATGCTCTTCCTCATTCAGATGTATGTAGAAATGAATCAGAAGAAAAGGTGGTGTTTTAGGGGAAAGAAAAAGTCTTTGACTTTCATTGCATACTGTATAATTCCCATAAGCTTCTATTTAAAACTGTCACTGTATTTTGGCTGTTGCTTTTATTCAATCTATTTAAATACGTTTTAAGGTGAATTACTTGTCATTTGACATTTCTGTTCTATGTTATGCTGCAACAATCTGACTGACTTGCAGTCAGGTCAGAAATGCTACAAGTTGAAAATAAGAGGTTTCAAAGCCTTTTATTTTTTCTTCCACCTGTGGAAGTTTAGGTCTTCCTCCCTTAATAAAATATACCGTTATCAAATGAAGAGAGCAGCGTGCTAGAAAAGAACTGAAGTTTAAATTAAATTTTGAAAGTATAAATTTGAAACTTAAAAGAATGAGGTGTGTCTGGTGAATCTAGATGAAGGAGAGATGAATGCAAAGGCAGTTTTTGTAATGTGCTTAGCAGACCCAGCTGGAGTCATATTTTCAAAAATCTGGCCCTTACCGCACACACAAAAAATATTTTAAAATAATAGCAACATGAAGTCTGATTCTCACACTGCCCTGTGTAGCCTCAGTGAAATAGCAGACATGCAAGTGGTCTGGAGATGAACCGCAAGGAACCAGCCAAAGATATATCATTTCTTCAATATCATTTTACTGTTGGTTATTTTTCATGGTTGGATAATGATGAAAAAGTGGAGTAAGTGCTATCCAAAGTCTATACTGTTGGCAAGAGCAAACCAATATAGGATTTACGTTCTTATTTTCTGCTTTCCTATTTATAAATAATGGTCTCATCTCTCATAAAAAATAAAAATTACACATCTCACACTGTTTAATGCCATCATAAAGAAAGGGTTTATGTAAGTCTTTGAAGCTCAGAGAATTCATAACTTAAGTCTGCATTAGTGTTTCAATAACCATGTGTGTTTGTAAGACTGATCTCCAAAATGAGTAAAAATGTTTGAGAAACATTTTATGGTGTGCCGTTGAGCCTACCAGACTGATTTTGGCAGACTCCCAGTCTGAATGCAGACTTCTGTCTTTTGGGGCTCGTTCCCTATGTGGATAACTGAAAGGACATTTATCTCATCGACAATGTAGCGTTTTGTGGTATTTCATAAGCCCTAATTTGGTACTGTTTACCAAGTCAGGAAACACTCATGAATGACACCCTCGCATCTGGAACCTGCTCCTCTCTTTGCACCCAAGTGCTTTCATATATGCTTTGCTGCTCACCCTCAATTGTGGAGAGAAAAAAATGCGTGCAGTGATATGCACCACCTTGTTTGTAAACAGGATGGTTTTTAAGAACGATACTGGAATTTTTCAGTGTGCGTTTTTATTTAAAGCTAGAGAGCAAAGACTGGAAATGTCAATTAAGCTGCTTTGTCATTTTAAATACAAACATCGGTTAAAGGGAAGAAAATTTGGTGAGAGCCTTTTTTTTTTTTTTTTTTTAACTGCAGTTGAGGTACTGAGGTCAGGACGGATTGAAGAGAGATTTAAAAATAATTGTGAAAAGTAGTTTTCTTAGCATTATTTGGCTTGAATGTTCTGAAGGCTGGTCTTCATGCCTACCAGGGTACTTTAAATCCTGCTAGATTTCAACATTAAACTATCGTAAGTACTGATTACTTTTGTAACTAGCATTTAATATGCCATTGATTATGCCTGATCTTTTAAGTACCAGAGCCTCGTGGTATGGCAAGAACAGCCAGGAATTGCAAGTGCTATTTTGTAGAGCCTATTAATGAAGATATAGGGAATAAAATTGTCCATTTTTCATCTTTAGACTTAATTTTTTTAATTTATATGCTGTGCTGTCTTTGGAAATCATTTTGGTCTAGGGGAATGTTTATAAATTGTGTCTTGTTTCAGAGTTAAAGAGGCAGAGGAAGTCTGCAGACAGAAAAAGGGGAAATCACTATACAATATAAGACCAAAACATGACTCTGGAATTGTAAGTAAAAAATTGTAGCTATATTTCTTTTACCATTGTTCATTCTACCTTTTTCTCCTTTTCTTCTATAGACATCTTACTCTTGATATACTTCTTGTTCTGTTTGGCTTTTATTTTTTTAAGAGGTGCTAGATTAAGCAACTTGAATGTTGTCTGTTAATGTTACTCCATAAAAGAGATGTAGAACAAGCAAAAGTAGTGTGTTATTGCTCTATCCTGCCAATATCTGCATCACAATCTTGGTGTGGGAGGCACCTAGATGGGAGGAAAAACAGTTAAAGTCTTCAAGCTTATTCAGCCTCAAATTACTCTTTTCTAAAGTTACAATATGTAAAGAAGGTTCAGAATAGCATGCATTTTGCAAATTGTCAGGTACTAGTAGCTTCTGTTCCACTGATCTTTTAGTTTTCTTTAAAATAGTTTTCTTTAAAAAAGTTTTCTTTAAAATAGCAGCTCTTGAAAAAGATGATACTGTGTTTTGTCTGTTCTGAAAATAGATGAGTAAGTGTAATGATGGTAGTCTTGTCAATTCATTATTATGAGACTTAGAGGTAGATCTGAATACCAGGATCCTGGTTTATTTGGCAATGCAGAGACTCCCAATGATACTGAAAATTTGATAGAGAGAAAAGGAATGTAAATAAATTATTTCACAAGTTTACTGCAGTTTACTTCAGTTCTGGTTTTGAAGGGATATTTTTGTGAATTCAGTTCTAGAGTATGTATAATTTAATGTTAACCTATGCATTTGTGTGATTTACACATGTGAATTCATCATCTTGCTGATTTTTTTTTTCATTTTCATATTTATTATTTTTCAGAAAGCCAAGATAAGTATGAAAATCTGACAGAAGAAAAGCAAAAGCCATTGTTACCTGGTTACCAAAACTCAGCATGTCTGTGGGTGGGGTGTGAGGGGGAAGGAAACTACATTATCCTGATCATTTGCTTTCTGGACCTTTTGAATTCACTTTTTGTTCTCTGGAGTTTTCCACCAATTGATGTGTTAATGTACCTTCATGAATGAGTGTAAACACTTTAATGGAGTGCCCGGCAATAGACTAGATATTGACTTGAAACACCTTCCCTGTATTCAGTATCTCCTTTACCACTCAAAGATGATATTTTGTAAAGTGTATGGTATACTACAAATAGGCCAAGTCAGCATGCATAAAAACGGTATCTGCATCAGTACTGAACATGCTGAAAATTGCATTAAGTTGAACTTCATAAGAATACTACTTGATAGAGTAAAACGTTTCCGTTCCTACAGGCAACATCTGTCTAAAGCAGATACTTCATGACACTGCACTTAGATTAGGGAAAGAAATGTTACTCCTAGTGAATTGTTTGTATCTGTTTCATGTTGGCATATGTAGTTTGTATTTTGAATCGTTAAGTGCTGCTTATACAGTATAATCAATGCTTTCCCAACTTGTTTGGTTGCCCTCCATGGCTAAATATTTGTGGAACAAGATGTTTACTGTAACTATGTTTAAAATCAATAAGGCAACATACTTTTACAACTTTTACTTCATCTTTTGCCAGATAGTGAATGCCAGGTGGTAATGGGGGTCAGAAATCCAGTATTTAAAAAAAAAAAAGGGGGGGGGGAGGCAGGGAGCAAGACAATACAGAAAAGCACAGAAGTACTATAGAGAGAATATGAGAGAGATTTGGCTGTTATAGTTTGTTAACATATAAAGCAGCTAATAATTTTACATGAACTTTAGAAAGCATAGTATAGATTTAACTGCTGATAAGTCAGACAGGCTTTTGGCCACATGTAAATGACTTCTCTTTTGGAATTAGCTTTACAGTTACTTTAAAATTCCTTTAGAGAGCCGCTAAATATGCACATGGGGACTGACATTTATGAAAAACAGTAGCCAATTCTAGTGACAGACACGGACTACCAACTAATTGACATTAATTTCACACTTAGCATAGTTGCAGGGTTTTTCTCCAGGTTTTTGTGTCCCTAGCTAGGAGATTAATGATTGAAATCTATAACACACGCTTTATTTCTATTTGCAATCTAGAATTGATTGTATCAGCCTTTATCTGCTCAACCAATAACAACTCTTTCCTCCAGTCATGATTAAATAGCACCAAAACAATCCGCCTGATTGATAACATTCTGCTTTCAAGGCTCACATTTCCTGAAAGCAACCAGAGTTTGATACTGAGTTGGAGGCACATGCTTCATTCAGCCTTGCTCCCTGACAGGCACTGGAGTAAAAAGCAAATGAAGTCTAACCTGTGTGTTATTCCCTGTCTAATCTAGCATATCATCAGACATTCCTACCTGTCCAGAAGCTACTATACTATACAGGTGTCATAAAAGAAAGTGTGAAATATGACCTCAGGAATCTGTTATTCTTCACTTATACCAAGCACTAGAAAAGATGGGTTTTTTTTTCACTATGTGAAAAGTAAAGTCTCCTGTTGCTGACAAACCTATTTGAAATTCTGTAGTCGTAATAATTTCTGTCAGGGATATAAATTACTGAGATGGAGTTCTAAAACTTTGTGTTGATGGGAGTAACATTACTATTTGGGGGAGTGAGAAGAGATTATTTGTTGTTACAACTAACTTATGGAAAAAAAAAAAAACCTTTAAAAAATAAAGCTATTTTAATGGCACTGATTCAAATCCATGTTTGTATTTATGTAAACAGTAGTCTTTTCCTCTTAACTTTGCTCCTAAGTGCAAGAATACAGTAGCATGTTTTCATTTGTAGCCTTCCTGTTCAGTACCTACAGTATGTATATTATACTAAATGAAATAATAGATCATCTAACAAAGATCACTATGTGCAATACTGTATTTAGTGTTTCTATTTCAATTTTTTTTAGAATGTTAATTTATATGAAAATAAAAGGAATAATAACAAAATAGTTGCCTTCTCTCTTCACTCTCATGCTGTGCTGTAGTTTTAAGTTTTAACAACCATGCACTAAGTGCCACTTCTCATCAGGAAACTAATGTGAAGGAATCGGTGGAAATGGGACTTTTGACTGCACAGTACCAGTAACTCCTCCTTATGTGGATATAATACCTCTTCCCAAGTGAGAATAGTGAGGAGCTTTGGTGTTCTTTACCCAGTCAGACTCACTTATTGTGCTTGTGCATGCCTCCAGTAGTGCATTAGGCTTAGCTGGTTCACATACATCTCTTTACTGCTGTGGAGGTGATTTGATACCTGTGAGGAGCCTAACTGTTCTTACTAGAAGTGCACCTGTCACCTGTTCTTATTAGTGCTGCCTATGTTACATGCCTACTAAATTGCTATTATTGCAAAAATATGTGTTCAAAAATATTCTTTGCATATTATGTCTTTTATATATGTAAAACGGTGTATATATTGTAATCATATACTCATTTGAGTTGGAAGGGACTTCTGTAGGCCATCTAGTCCAACTCCCCTGCAATGAACAGGGACACCTACAGCTACATCAGGTTGCTCGAAGCACCATCCAGCCTGACCCACAGCATGCGTGGAATCCCAATGTAAGTCTCACTATGACTTTTTTCAGTGTCACATAGCACTTTGTCAGAATTCAAGACTAACATTATTTTGCTTGCTTTTAGAAAGTGGAAAGTCCCTTTAGGTCCCTCTCTCCCTATTTACTTGAGTAGCAAACATGCTACACTTGCTGAGCCTTTGCTGCCATCATATATCACTCATAGTTGCTTGAATTGCAGCAGCTCAATAAGGACTTGTATACCTAAGCAGCAGATGTAACTTAATTGAGTACAAGAAGAAAGATTCTCCTTTCAAGAGGATCTAAGATTTGTGGTGTTCTGCTTTGCAAATTAAACCTTTCAGAGGGACAGTACTTAGTCACAGTTGTTGTGACGCAGCAGTGGTTGGCTTTGTAAAGAATTTCCAAAAGTCAGTTAAGTATTAACCAGCAGTGACACTGGGAACGTGACTAGTCGCATCTTCCATAGGTTGTCATCTTTTCTTGTCTGATTTTTTAAGTGATCAGTTTAAAAGTTGAAAGCAGCTTTTCGAGAGAAGATATAGCAAGTCTCTGCATTGCTATTATTTTGCTACGTACTCTAGGCTAATAAGCAGGGCTCTGTTTATGCCTGCTCCCTTATATCAGTTACATAAGTTATGTCAATTTTGAACTGTTATCAACAGAGTAAGTGAAAACTGACAGAGCTGAATTCTTCTGAAGACAATATGAAATGATCAGAAAAGGAAAAAGACAAAACAATGCCCAACATCCTTCAGGTCAGTACCCATCAATCAAATAGGATTCACATTACAGAATGGGTGTTACAGGCTATTCCCTTGATGATGGCAGATCTGTCTTTATCTGATAAACATTCATTCAACCTACTTGTAAAGTATCTAAGGGTAAGCTCACTATCTCAAAAGTGTGGTATCTTTCTGAGGATAAAAAGTCTGTTAAATGTAAATTCTGTTTGGTTTTGTTTTTTTCAGCTGCAGCTGAAATTTAAGCTCTTAGAAACCAAGAGTCTTCATGTATTCTTCATGTATCACTCATCACAGACTGGGGACTTGCTGAGTCAGCAGTTCCACAGCAATAGAACTTTACGTTTGCTGTTCCCCTCCTTTCCCTGTCCCACAACACCAGTCGCATTTAAGAGAGATTGGGTCTGTCTGACCAAGTGCCTCTTCCATCTACCCAGGGTGACTCACCTGCTCCTGGACTGTTTTCACAAGAGGGAGTTCATTGGATTACCACATAAACTTCTAGTATGCTTCAGCAGCAAGGCGGGAAGAGGCTGAGAGAGCCTACCAAGCTGGAACACAGACAGAAGTTCAGTTGGGTGCTGGGCAGTTAAGCTACAAGCTAAGTAAAAACACTGGCCAAGAGACAGGCAAAAATGAGAGTGGGCTGCTGGAGGATGTGGCTGTCTGAGCTCATTTTGAACCAAGTGACTGAGGCATTTGCAAGATGGCGCATCTGCATCATCAGGAGTTGAGCTCAGTGATCCATAGGGGTCCATTCCAAATGGGGTGACTCTATGATTCTAACATCTGAGCAGAGAGCTCTGACCATACTTAGTGAAAGCACAGTAGAATTCTCAAAACAACAAAAAAAGAAAATAAGAACAACAGAAAAAACCAACTGGTTACTTAAAAAAATATATATCTTTGCTGAATTGTGAGAATTTGGTCAAGAGCTTGGGGGATGAGGAGAGGAGGTTTGTACTTATGTCAGTTACAGTGTCATAATGAAGGTAGCCCCCCTTGTTAAGTGTAGTCTGTGCACTCCTGTTTCTCTCAATATCCATGACAGACATCTATTCTGATGGAGGCTCACTTCTCATTGTAAGAAATCCCTTTCCTAGCTAAAGTTTTCCTTTGTGGTGTTTGTTTGTTTATTTTTGCAACAATCTTTTCTTTGGGTTGGAAAAACAGCAACAAAGATACTACTCTACACTTTGAGGTGCATACACTGTACTATACTCATTCAAGAGCTGATAGCCAGGGCTCAAACTCACCTATATCTTAACAGACATTTATTTCCATGCGTAGGTTGGTGACTTTTATGTAAGGATTTACCTACATTTTAAGCAAAAACGCTGATGATAGCTGCTTCTCTGAATGTAAATGCCAGCAGTTCAGCTGATGGTGGAACTTTGGTTGCCTTCCTGTCATTAACCAAAAAAGCCAGTGGTAGTGTAGGGGATTAGTAGGGAAGTGTGTAGGGGTAAAGTAGCTAGGCTTCCCCAAGCTGTCAGGGCAATCCATTTACCTGTATCTCATATGGTCAGAAGGAAACTGGAAAACAGACTGATTAAAAAGCAGCTGGACACAAGGTGTTGAAGCAAAGCCTGTACATCTGGATGCCATATAACCCTAGAGTAGCTTTATTATTTAATCTATAATTTAATAGTAGACCTATAAAATAATTACATTATACTTAAAGTATTTCTTCTTTTTTTTTTTTTTGTTTTCATTTATAAAACAAGAATTAAATACAGTTTTAACCATTACAAGCTCAACTCAGTTTTTACATAAACATAGCTCCTAGAAGGAACTTTAAGCTGCAGCATAGTCATATTGCAAACTGATGAAAACCCCAGGCAGGGCATAGCTTAAAGATTCTTGCACATTATTCCTAACTGAAGTTACCACGGTGCTTTTCTCTCTCTCTCATCCAAAATGAATGACTTTCAGTTTGTTTCTTTCAAGTGGAGACTGAGATCACTGGAGTCATAATAGATTAGTTTTCTCCACTTTGCCCCACACCCACACTGACACTATCAAGCCTGGAATGAACACTTTCAGGGGTTGGCATGATGCTGTTAGTATAGCAATGCCAGCTTCTGAAAAACAACTGTGAGGGGTCTCCCTCTGCATTTCTGAAAGATCACAGAAGAGAATACATAACTGTTCACTTAATAGGGCTAACACACCTGACCAACCTCATCCTGCCCGTGCCAATCCCCATAAACCGCTTGGTGAGCTCTTGTGGAGCTCAGTCCCAAAAGCCTCTTAGAGCAGCCCGTCTCACATAATATGGCACTGAACTCTTGGTTGGCCAGAGTCCTAAACACATTAACCCCTTGAAGTGGCTGCACGTAAGGAATCTGGAAGGAAAGGGTTTGCACAGCAAGCTCTTATCAGCAGATGCAGATCCTGAACTCTAAGACATGCATCGGGGAGTCAACTTGTCAATTAGTAAGCTTCAGGTGACTGAGCATGTATGGGCTTTGGTTTGGGGGAAGGGGCTGGTTTGTTTTTAGACATCTTATGATCTTAATGCAGCTGGTACTAATACAGATCAGAACTGGAACAAACAGGATACACAGGACATGCTAAACTCCACCAAGTGAATAACAACAAAGTATGATCAAAATGAACTGCAAAGTGTTCACCACCATGGATTATGTAGAACCCAAACACTCAGTGGGCCACCAGTGCCACGGTAATTAGCACTGGCTCTCTCTCCCTGCTCATACAACTGCGTCCTATTCCACAGCACTGACTGATGGTTTCGTCCTTTAACATCAACACTTTTTCCTGGTTTCCAATCACAGGAGAGATGTCACTTCCAGCACCTGATGACGCTGAACAATAAGGCAGCTTTTGCATTCGGTCCAGCAATTACCAAATTTTGTTCTTCGTGCGACAGTGCTTTTATACCTTAAGTGAAACACTACTAGTGTTCTCAGCTCCTCTCCAATTACCTTCCACCTTCTCCAGTCTGAGCAGGCATAAATATAAGGTAATAAATGGATGTTGTCCTTTTTGGAGTAAGAAACAAGCACAGATCTAACACATTAACGTACCGAAAGCCCAGTTAAAATGCATCCATTTTAAGCCAGGCAGCTGACCTAGCAACCAAGTCTCTTACCACATTTTAATCTCCGACATATTCTGTCACAAGAAAAATATACATGGCTAGGTCTATAATACTTTAAGCAGCTGTTTACTATAGCTAAGTTACAAAACAAACACTGCTGCAGAGACCACATGTTCGGTATATTCCAGCCACAACAACTTAAGAATCCTCCTTCAGGCTGCTGATGTGATCACGGCGGCTGATCTGATGTTTCGCCCTCTCCCCTTCAGCTCTTATCTGCAGTTCAGACCACAAACTTGGAACAGTTTGTCATTGCACAACGAGAGGTATCTCAAGAAGCCGAGCCTCATCAGAGAGTCTCTTTTTGTTACTCTTTGTAGCTCTCCCTGGTCTGCCTCACCCAGATTTGGGAAGAACCCAGCATATCGTGGTGACAGCAGCAAGCTCCGGAACAGCTTAGTGGGAAGGCATCTCATCTGGTGGAGGGGGCTGGAGTGTAGGGCAGACGGCTTTACTCCACACAGTGGAAACATTTAACGTTGCATTCAGCCAACTGGCCACTTAGATGCACTCAACTTCAGGAGCCTGCTCCACCCTGTAAGATTCAACTGTCAGATGATACCAGACATAAAATGAACCTGATGATCAAGTGCATAACATAGCCCATTCCAGTAGGCACATGACAAGGAGCCTTTCCTTGCTGGAGAGATGTTTCCCGAAATGAAAACAAACAGGGAAAAAAGAAAAAAAAACAAGAAAATAGGCAGTCTGCCCAATGGAGAGGAGATGCAGCGGGAAGTCTGATGGGGACAACAGGACAACAGCAAACAGCAGCCACACAGCTGTTCTTACATCTTGCCTGAGTTGTTCAGATTCACGGACATGCACCGGCACTGCTTCACCTTCTGAATTTTCTTGAGTCGGAATGGTGGGTCCAGCTCGGGGCACTCCAGCTGCACAGTCGAGGAGGTCACCTTGTGTGGCTTGCAGAAAGCACAGGACTGGAAGGACTCCTCCTCCTTCTTCACATGCCGCGGTATGTAGAAGGAGTTGCACTGCCCATAGCAGAAGCGGTTGATGATGGTGCGGCTTATGCAGCCCTCCTCACTGACAGTCTGTCGCAAGGGCTGCGTCTTGCACCAGTCGCTCTTGAGGTACTTCCGTTCGGTGACCACAAGGGCCTCCTGGCTGGAGGCCAGCACCTCCTTGTTCAGCTGCTGCCTCCGCTCCGAGTTGTTGCTGCTGCTGTCCTTGTAGGGGGATGGGATCGCCCCCGCCGGGCGGTTCTTCCTGCTGTCTGCTACTCTAGCCAGTGCTGCCATCAAACAGATGGACACGGCAAATTTCCAAATCATCCTGCAATGGCAATACAAGTAGCTGTTAGAAGAGACGCGATTTCAAACCACAAAGTGCTGAACTTAACACATGCTTTTAGAAGAAATGGAGACCTTACTGCCTTTGTAATCCCAACACTTTTCCTAAGAGATTAAGTATATTCTAGGGCGAGCATTTATCACAAAGAGGTCAGGCCCTGTTGAAATGCCCCTCTCCTCTTTCCCCCATAGGAAAGCTAATGCTTTGATCACTGCACCACTGACTTTGCAGAAGCTTCAGCCAGAAAGGTTTCCTTCTTTTCTGTGAAATCCTGGGCCAAACAGCTGGGCAAATTCCTGGCTAGGAAAGGCTCAGCAGACTTCTGCCAACTCAGTGACAGCTCATCTGTGGAGGCTGGGGAGAGGGAAGGGAATAGTATGCTACACAAAGTGAACTCCCATTTGCCTCTTCAGATCTAAAGTCCCCACCTAGCCTCGTTCCAGGCAGAGCAGTGAGACATGTCCAAAACTATATTTTTATCATTTTGAATTGCTTCTGGTGTTTCTCGGGGCTTACAGCACATACAGCCCTTCATATACTGCCTTTGTGGGAGGCCGAAAACTTGATAGATTTATTCTTCCAACAGGAGGAAACGCTTAAATACAACACAGGGGACTTCATTATTGCAAGGTTTCCTAGGCAAATAGCTTAAGAAGGTTTGTAAACATGAGAGAGTTCAGTATTTACTTTAGATGTTAAGGAATAGGTTAGAGCAAAAGCCAGTTGCTAAGCTAAGATAAGCAGCCAATTGGCAAAAGAATTTTTTCCAATAGATGTCTATTAGAATTTCTTGTTCGGTGGAGCATATCTTAGCAGCTCCTGGATTTTCATCAACAACTTGTTGATTCAGTTTAGTAATGTGTCTAAATGTGCATGTATGACATCAGAGCTAAAGTACTGAATTTCCTCATCAAGCCAATGTTCACAACTCATTTGACAGTTTATTTAATTTTGTTGTCCCAAGAAAGGGAGAGCAGAGTATTTCTAGGGTGCCAGAAGTGAGTGCAGCCCAGAAGCTTTCCGTCCAGAGGTTAGGGACACTTCAGCTCCTTCTACAAGCGCTCTACTTACCTTTGTTCTGAAAGGACAGTATTTATGGAACAGTATGTAGATGAAAGAGTCATCCCTCTTTTCCCAGTACAGTTTCAGATCCTTCCAAGTAGTGCTTTTTTTTTCCCCTTTAGAATGATGCCAAGAAAACAAATACTATCACACCAATAAATATAGATATATCTGACACTGCAGACATTTGAGATTTTGCATTAGGTAGTTCTAACATAAAAACACACCATTTTCCAAATAAAGACACCAAAAGATCAAAAATGCATTTGTGGTGAAGATTCAAAACATCCATGAGGCAGAGCTAACGTATTTAAGCTCTGGATGGATAAAGAGAAGGAGAAGTAGCAGATTAAGTGGGACATCTTTTAGATAATTTTCTAAGTTTATAAGATCTCAAGGTCAGATTTTTGACTAAATTTTAAGGGGAGAAGTTGGAAGTGCTGAAAGAAAATGCTTATCCTAGAGCTGTGAGTGGAAGATGCTCTTATGCAAACATCAAATATCACCAGAGTGCATGCTTGAAATGGAAACAAGTGTTCCTAAAACCCAAATAAGCAAATTCATCTGTAAGCATGCCAAGTGCCCACTGACATCCATGGTAGCCATGGGTTCTTTAAATCAGTGGCCTATTTTTGCACTGCTTAGCATTCAGCACGCAAGTCCAGAAGGTTTGTCCAGATCCTTCAAATGAATCAAGACTAGACTTGGATTTCATCACAGGTATTGTCGCCAAGAGCCCTGGATGTCAACCACTGCAGCCAGGCCAAACTCTAATCGGGTAATTAGTTTCACTTGAATGCAGTGTTCCATGTTTCCTCCCAAACTGTTCTCATGTTATTCTACACTGATGGCTGCTTTTCAGTAGTAGATAAAAAAAATGTATGCCCACTGTTTTGTGTTTTAGATAGAAAAGGGAGGGAATAAAACAGGAGTTATGAGCCTATACCCTCTAGAAAAAGACATGCCAGGATGCCTTATGCCAGCATTCCTCAGACAATCTCTTCTACTTCTTTTCTATATGCAGGGACATAAAGTAAATGCTCCAGCTCTACTTCAGGGAAAGAGTTCGGTCCTTTTCAGCAGGGATATACCTCTCCAGTTTCATTTATCTTATCCTGACATGGAAGAGAAAGGTATAAATCCAGAGACAGGTCAAAAAGAGAGATGCACACTTTCCCTCACCCTTTTCTTAGCAAAACTCTGTCTTACCACGCCCACACTTTCCTATCACAAAATGCAAGTTAAAAGACAACTTCCTTTGCATGTCAAGGAAGGGTTTGAGCAGAAATCCTACACAGGAATTCTGTAATGCTGACAGAGGTAGCAACTTGAAGTTTATAATGCGGAAAAATATTATAGTAGCTTTATAATTTCTGAAATAGTTTTATGTAGGCATGGGAAGCCATTCAACAGAATAAATAGGATTTATTCACTAAGTCTATGTTTATAACTAATAAAGCATTATTAATCAAAGCCACTATTGTACACTTATAAACCAAACTCTGCAGTACACAGCAAGAACTTCTACAGACACTCAGGAACGCAATGCCTATTTCTGTCATTGATCTCTATCAGATTTTAACCTTCTAATATGTACAGAGAGCACATTACTCCGATTTATACCAGCTAGTCAAACGTGCATCGTCTCAGATCATGGAATTTCTAATCACAGGGCTGCCCCTTACTAACCGACAAATCACTCCTTCCTAAACCCTGGCACACAAACCCCTATTCAAGCCAGTAAGGGTGCAAACAAGGTCACCTGATGCCAGAAACACACCATGGACTACATATGTTTTAGGTAATCACATGCAAAGAAAAGAGAAACTTCACTGTTCTCAGAGAAACAGAACATTCTGGCACACTCAGCCCGAATGCAAGGCAGCATGCTGAACGCTGCCTGTTCGCAAACAGAGCAGAAAGAGAAGAAACAAAAACGTTCTGGTTTCTGGCAAGGACAAAGCAGTTATGTCCTTTCTCAATATCAAGGAATTATATAGCAGGTGGTCTTAAGAGTTGAAAACTGCTAACACTTGTGCAAACGCCAGCCTGGGTCCATCATTCCCGCTGCACTGAGGGACTTTTCACATCAGAGCTGATGGAAGCTGCTGTGTGATGGTTTTCAACTCCTTGAGGAGTTTTTGCCAGCTGCTGCAAGGCCTCTGTTACCCTCCCCCCACCACTTCCTTTATTCAGTCTGTGAGCTGGTGCAGAAAATAACTTAATCTTATACTAGACATGAAACAGGGCCTAGCTGCATTAGCATTTCACATGTTAAGTTTTTATCTCTTTTAGATAAGGAAATCAGCCTAAAGCATGAGTTCACAGGCTCCTGAAACCTGTCATGCTGAAGCAGAGCTGTAAGGTACCCAGGAGTCTACAAAATCCTTGGCCAAGGAAGCAGGAATGCCAAGACCCAGCTCTGTAATCCAAAGAGGTCAGGGCACGCAGCTAGCAGGGGAAGACCCACAACTGCTGTGTCTGCCTTCAGCTTTATTTCTTGTTTGTATCCAATTACTGTGTAACATAAAATATCTACTAAGTCAGGCTCCCTCCTGCATACCATCCTTCTGGCCCTATAACTCAATGCATTCTTGAAAACAATCCAGCTCTGGAGCAGGACAGGCAGTAGTGTAGCCCCCAAAATAGCCTATAGATTTGCCATTAGGGCACTTCCCTGGGAATTAGAGCAATGGCTTTGACCTCAGAATTCAAGCACATCATTTTGGAGAAGTCCGCCAACAGAACTGGGAGTTACGGTCCCTGAAAGACAAGAGAGGAAGCAATGACAGCACCCATCCATACCAAGTGACTGCTCCAGAGTTTCCTTTAGTGACTTCAATTTCTGAGCTCAGGATGAAGTTTCTGACTAGGAATTCCTGTTTCACAGATTGGCCTGTTTAATTAATCTTCAAATGATGAAAAAGAGAGAGGGATGTAAGCAGAATCAGCAATTGTGAGATCCATTTTCTCGTTGAAGCATGGAACACCTACAAACCACCTAGTATTATCAGCTTGCCCCAAAGCATCAAACTTTCTGATGCAGTCATAAATACATTGGATTTAGCAACATAAACCTATTCCACCACCATCAAAAGTCTTGTAAGAGCCAGAGGGAAAAAGAACAACAGAAAGATAAAAACCCCAAATTACTTTTTGAAAACTAAAATTTATAAGAGAAGAATTTGTCTTGGAAGATTGAGGTTTCTTTTCTACTAGCAGCAAAAGTGAGGCAGTATAGCCTAAATTAAATCAAGTACAATTTTGTGGCATAGTACATACACAGTCATGTCATTCCATGCATCACTCTTTTCCAACCGGCAAACTGCAGAGACTCAAAAGCTTTCCCTTGGGATCAGCTCTTTGCTGACTCTGGGACTCAAAACTATGCTCTACTCCACCATTTATTTTCTTATTATACCTAGTCAAAAAAGAACATGCACAAAACAACCATATGTTTATTAATGCAAGAACATGGTGTACATGGTCAGTTCTCAGGCTTTTAAGATGGCACACAAGAAGTGCTCCTTGAAGATAAGCCAGGCGATAACTTTCCAAAGAACTAGAACTTGGCTTTAATGACTTATGTTGGAAGCAAGGAAATATTAGATTCTCTCCCAGGAAGCAAAAAAAGGCTATTTATTTAATTTATTAATGGTTAAGCATGATTCTAATAGTATAATGTTCAAATAAAGGTGACACACATTAAGCACCTTTACGCAAGGGAAGCAGTTGGTTCTAGCCTCTCCCTTTGAAGTATCCTTTGGCAATTATTGATCCTATGTCTCCAAACAACAGTAATAAATTAACACTGTGCTATATCTTTATTTTTGAAGAGGAATGGACCTCTTAGTGATTGATTCCAACATTAACAGATTCTCACAGTTAAAACGCCAAGACTAAGACCACTGACCACAGCA